AATTTCTCCCTGTTCTCCAGAAAATATAAAATGGATAACAATGAAATGTTTAGCTGTAACCACAATAAAATTGAGTAGTCTGAGATCTCCAATGGAGTAAATGAAAACGTTGGTAATTAATGTGGACTTATAGCAAAAATCTAGTTTTCATTTATTGATTCTTCTGGCATTAATAACTTATTTGGCTTTTCTTTATAAGTGGATTTCTATTACATAAATATAGTATGGAACATATGTAATGATAATTTTATGGACTAAAAGAGATTCAACCCAATAAAATATGTAGTTATCAAATACTTTTATAATGAATTCATGATATCTTGTCTTATTGTTCACTTATAACATAATAATATTGATCTCTGATCATTCTACTACCTAGCATGGTTATACAGATTAAAATTTAAAAATAAATTTGAAAGTATATTACACTTCTATATTATTGATGATATTAAATGCTTTGCTATTAATTTACATATTTTCCGATTATTTTCTCAGGTTTTGAGAATGGAGAACCAAGAAACTACTTTTAATTTGTATTTACTTTATAACATAGCCTATTTATATAAACTAGTATTCATGTTTGCATGGCTATAATGGAGTTCCAAAGTAAGTAGTTAAATTCAATAAAAGTTTCCATCTCATAGCACAGTCTCAAGCTAGATAGTCAAAGGAATAATGAAATAGCATTGCGATATCAAGATCTCCAGGGGGCCAGGGTCCTCCTTCTGTCTGCTTGCTCTGTTATTCTTAGAATTTCTTCCTCATTCCCATGGTCTAATATGACTTGCCACCAAATCTGTGTCCTGAGCAGCAGTTGGAAGAAGGGGCTCAGCCATCCCTTCAATATGTTCTGAATGTTGAGTGCATCAACCTTCTGCATGCCGCACTCAACTTAATGGAAAGCTGGAGAATAGTCTATTACAGGAGCCATGTTCCCAGCTAAAACATGGGAGTCCTAGCTGTAGGGAAAGGTAGTTATTGGGGAACAACTTGCAGCCTTTTCTGTATATATTTGTAAATTAAATTCATGTTTGAGCTTGAATTAGGTTAAATATGTATTATCATTTTTGACATTTGAAAAAAAACCTGTTTATTTGATTATATGCAAATATTCCACATATTTCTCACTCTGCTCAGCCTGTAATGACCTTCACCATCTCGTTTCACACAACGTACCTCCAAAACCCAATTCAGATGTCATATAACACCTCCTCAGTAAAGAAATCTTTAATGCTAGCTTTAACTCATCCTTTTACCCTTGCTATTCCATTATAACACAATATGGGTGTTCCTTTATTGTAGTAGCTAGTAAACTCTCTCAACTTTCTCTTGTTATAATAAGACAGCAATTTCCTTAATAGTAGAGTTTCTGTCTCATTGATCCTTCTCTTCTCTATGGGCCCTTCATTTAATAGGTTGATGGTATTTTCTGACTGAGTGAATGGAAATTTGAATTCTAGCTCTGCTCTGTTTGTAACATAGTGTATAATCCTGGATAAGTCACTCGGTCTTTTTTTGGTCTTTCCAGTAAAATGGGGAAAATTATAACTGTTTATCCACGTTATAAGGTTCTTATGAAGATAAAATTATTTGAAAAATCTGCCAATTTTAAGATATGTGATTTATGAGATTTTACTGTTTGCTGTATTATTAGGAATTTGGGGAAATGAATCAAGATTGAATGGGTTGTTGAGTCAAATTTGTATTCAAAGATATTCCACAGTAATATTTTGGCACAATGGGCCAAAAGGTTCATATTTCAACTAGAAGTAATCCTGCCAGGCTAGCATGGTGCAATGGTTGGCCATTGATCTATGAACCAGGAGGTTATGGTTCCATTCTTGGTCAGGGCACATGCCTGGATTGTGGCTCAATCTCCAGTGTGGGATGTGCAGGAGGCAGCCTATCGATGATTCTCTCTCATCATTGATGTTTCTCTTTTTCCCTCCCTTCCTCTCTGAAATCAATTTAAAAATATATATTTTTAAAAAAGAAGTATATACTATTGTTTAATAATTATCTTTTATCTAAAATTTCCTGAGAAGTTGAAAAAGGGATTCTAGTTAGTTTTGATTCTTGGCTCAGATTCAGTGATAAGATTTAAAACCATGGTTACTTGATGAATCAGAGCCCAAGTTGTTTCACATATGATATCTGCTAAGGACTAATGTTGGGACTCTAGTATCAGGTACTTTCCTGATTTTCAATATACAGTGAGTAAATTATTTTCCATTAAGTTTGATGCTTTGGGGAGGACCTTAATTGTAACTCAGAAGGTGTATTTTTCTAGCTAGCTCTCATACTTAGGCCACTTGAGCTTTTTGAATGTCCACTATTGATGTAGTATTTCCTTGGCTTTCTCATCTTCCAGACTTGGTTATGTTAACTTATAGTAAGTATCCTGACAGTAATCTCCTGCTAATTACCTAATTGGGTTTTTTTTTTCTTGGGGTGGGGGTGGGGGGCGGGGAAGATGTGTTTCAGAGTCCTACGTAGTTTTACTGTCATCCAAATTTTGTCTGAAATTTTATTATGAAGCTTCACATACACATAACGAATTTTTGGAGGACAGACTGTAGTGAACAAAATCACTTTGCTTCTCTGAGGAGGCTATATATTTCAATGTGTAGGTAACAGTTAATTACTTGGAATATTTATGTCACTATTTGTGTGCTCTGCCATGAAGGTTCTCACATTTTTGGCTTGTGTAATATTTATTGTGTGTTCACAGTATAGTAGGAGTTTTCCATCATACTGAACTAGTTTTGCTGTCTATTAAACTAAATGTAGGTTAGAATATATTTTACTTTTGAGTAGTGATCTGATTTCCAAGATTCTTATAAATTACATTTATGCAAATGTCTTAGTGTTTATGGTTATTACCTCTAATATCTCTATCATTTAAATGCAGATTGCCATGTCCCCTGGGAAAGTTTCCCTACAATTTCCAGGTGTAAATCTGGTTCCTTCTTTCATATGCCAAGGGAAGTTTTCACCATTTCTTTGTCATAGTTCTTTTGGTTTATATGTCTTTCTCCTTACTCACCTCTGAATTCCAAAATAGCAAGTGACATATCATACTCATGTTTGTATACACTGTATAGTTCCTAGATCATAGCAGACTCTCCGTAAATGTTTATTTTGTTGAACATAAATTAATTACAAACATCTTTAGCCAAGATCTGCGTTAAGCATGGTTTGAGGAGACTCTCATATCACTGTCCTTAGTCAGACCCTTAGGTTATGCAATAGAGGGTCAATATGTCAAACATGAGGGCGTAAAACTTAAGAAGGAAGCACATTGTATATCACTAAGCATCCAGCGGACTGTAAGTTTAAGCTGAGGTACTGAGTGATCTGTTCCTTTAAGTGTAATATTTTCTGAGTCCTTAGCCTAGGTCCGTGGTTGGCCAACTGCGGCTCGTGAGCCACATGCAGCTCTTTGGCCCTTTGAGTGTGGCTCTTCCACAAAATACCGCAGCCTGGGCGAGTCTATTTTGAAGAAGTGGCGTTAGAAGAAGTTTAAGTTTAAAAAATTTGGCTCTCCAAAGAAATTTCAAATGTTGTACTGTTGCTCTTTGGCTCTGTTGACTAATGAGTTTTCTGACCACTGGCCTAGGTGATCTATTCATTTTTTGCATTTTCCTTGTGGGAGATGGGTCATGTTTTATGAGATGCATTGAAGTTAGTGGAGAATGTCCAGAAAAACATAGTGAGTACTATATGTAGTAGAAATCTCAGACCCAAATTTGTCTAAAAGGCTTTTGGGTATTTGGCATCTGTGAATAATTGACTGAGAAGCCATCGCGTATACGGGGCGTGTAGAGGAGGCAGTGTCCTAGGCGACATTACCAGGCTCTCATTTCATCACAGGCCGAGTATAACTGACAAAAAATGGAGGAGTCTGGCCAGGAGAGCAAGAGAAATGGAGACTAGATGACAGAATTATGTTAACCTTAAGTGGAATTACAGATGACAAGCAGTCTTAGAGATAGCCATTACTTGAAGCAAATAAACATATGGGCTAAGAACACAGAAAATAATGCCATAGTGATGTAACCCATTTCACTTTATTTTAGCCACATACTGGAAATACAGAACCTTAGTAAAAATTCTGTGCTGGGGTTGAAAGCTTCCCTTTTTTGTAGTATTGTATTAGTTTAGGAGAAAGGGGACATCAGAAAGGAAATGTACCATCTTTAATCTTGTAATAGAGGCCTCAAGAAGGTAAAAAAGAGTGAATTCTCTAGTTCAACTCTGAAAACTCTATAAAATGTCTATCACCTTGTCTTTAAAAAGCCTATTTGTTAGCAGGAAAATGGATATATTTTAAGTTCATTTGTTCTTGCCCTTTAACAGATACTACCTCTTGGGGCTCCATTGATATTATTATTATTATTATTATTATTATTATTATTATTATTCCTACCACTTGCAGTTGTTATTCATTCAAAGGTCCCCAGCCCTGTCTGCTTGATGAGCAAGGGCTGTGGGCCTGGAGCTCCGCGGGCGGCAGAGCCTGATACGCAGTTGTGTTTGTTAGGAAACGCGAATGTGGTGTGGCACAGTGGGCTCCAGGGAAAGGCACGTTTGGTAATCCCGCTGGGCTTCAAGGGTTAACCTGCCATTGCCTGCCCACAATGCCCAGGGTTTTCTTTTTTCCGTTTTAAACCACATGGGAACCGTTAGACCCTGCCTACCACGTGCCAAAGGTGACCCGTGGAAACCAACACTGTGTTTTCTCTCTTCCCTTCAGGACACAGTATGTTCCATTTGGGACCGCCTCAACTACCTTCCCAGGCAGCTCCAGGCCTTCCTGTGCTTTCAGTGTGCCTCCTACTGTGGAGAGGAGCTTCCCTTGACTGTTCCTATTTTCACCCCGAGAAGGCACTCTGTTTCTGTGCACGTGGGATGGGTTGCGCAGCTGTAAATAAGGATGACACAGCAGAAGAGTGGTTTGTGGAGTGTGACTATATATACACGTATGTAATATTTTCCAGTCTGGTTTCAGACCCCGGCATGGCTTGGAGACAGCGTTGGTGTGTATGAAGGCTCTTCCTCGAATGAAGGATGTGGGACACCTTTCCATGATGATTATAGTAGAGCCTCAGCTGCTTTCGTGTTGGTCAGGAGGTGATGCTGAACCGAATGCTTGAACTAGCAGGCGTGGCTGGGATTGCATTGGCGTGGTTCCATTCCTTCCTTCCGGGTAGGTACCAGCTAGGGACGTCGGGTGAAAACGGACAATGCAGGGGGGGTCTCCCTGTACGGAACCCCACACAGCTGTCACTCATCCCCCTGCTCCTGCTCAGTGGGTTTGAGGATGCAGCCGGACCCTGAAGGCCAGGCGGTGTGATCTGAATGACAGGCTAGAAGGGGATCAGGGTGGTTCCCAGGCTGATGTCGCTCACATCAGCATCCTTTCTGCTTCATCCGTGTGACAGGGAAGACTGGAATCAAAACAGAGACAGTGTGGTTTGTCGAAAAGGGGACACCTGGGAGGCCTTGGTGCGCTTGCTCACGTCTCTGTCTGAATGACACAGTCTGTGTAAACTGTGGCCGTATTTCCACTACACGTTTATTTACCCGTGAAAGTTCTGTCCCAGTGTCAGATAGAAATGTCTTGTTTTCCTTTCTAGCCTTCTTCTCTGTGGATGCTGACTGCATCTTCACGGTCTTTCTTGCTGAAGTCGTGTCTGCTTCCCACCCTTTTGCTTGGGGCTCCTTTAAGCAAAGCAGCCTGACTCCATGAATAAATATTCTCGAGGGTGATTGAGCGATTTTCCCCCAGAGAATGTTTTGCTTTGTCGTCAGAGAGGACTTCATTATTCCAGCCCCGTTTTACTAAGAATCACATTGGGTTGCACCATCAAGGCCTTTTACTGCCTCTCCTTCTCTTTAAACGGCTCAGGCATTTTAAGATTTTACAGAGAATATGCTAGAGTGCCTTCAATTTTGAACATGTCCCTTAGCAACGTGATGCCTCTTCTGGCTGTTATTTATGTAATGTTATTCTAGTTATTTTCCTGGAGGATAATGAAAAGCTTGATGTGTGTTGAACACAAAGGGTGTTTATTAGGTCCAGGGGTAGAATACAGGTAAATCACGGAAACAAAGAAACATAGATTTATGTGTCTATAAATGCCCGTCCATTGAATGCCATTTTGGCAAAAGGGCAGGCAATGAATATTTCTGCAGTAACTGGTCAGCGTCAGGCTCTGAGCCAAGCAGTTTCTGTTTGTTTGTTTTTTAGAATATTGAATCCACACAATAACATCAAGAAGTGGTTGTTGTTTCTTTATTCTAGAGAAGAGGAAATGGATGCTAAGAGACTCGAGGTATCTTGTTAATATCACACAGCTTTAGTATGAGGAGAAGATCTGCTATTTGAGCCAGGGTCTGGCTGATTCCAACGCTCCGTCTTTCTATCACGGTCAAATGTTAGGCAACAGGAAAATGTTAAGAGTTGAAGTGTGGGATGTCCCAAAGGGAGAAAAATAGAAGAAAATTCAGAATGCCCATGAGAAGGCATGAACCAACCAAGGAGGAAAGGAGAGGCACAGAAAGAGGCTATCCTAGCATATGCTTGTTTTGAAAATGTCCTGAGTTTTTAAAACTCGGTTTATCAAGCCAAGTGATAAAAGGAACAATTTTAGGATCACCAACAACTTACCATGAAAGGGATTGAACAGGTTTAAAATTTCCGATTGTATCTCTTCGTTCATTTTCTGTGTTGACACCCCATATTTGAATGATACCCCACATTTGAATCCTAAGCAACTCTAAGGATCAGTATATGGAAGTCCATCAGGTAGTTAGTAATTATTGGGGGAGAGGCAGCATTTGACGGCCAATATCAGGGGCCTTCTGTTTAGGGAAGCTTTTAAAAACATACGTCTATGTCTGTGAAACCTTTCTCTGTGGAACCTCAGCTTACCTCTGCCGTTCACCTATAACAGGGCCGGGGGAACTTCTTTCTGCCAAGGCCCATTTGGGCATTTATAACATCATTTGCTTCATACAATTCACTTCATGTAAACGCATGCTGCTTACGAAAACGCCTAGACGTATTGGATTTCGAGTCCCGCCTGCAGGTGCCTTGGCGAGGCCAAACCAACTGGTTTCTTGGACCGTATATGGCCCACAGGCTGGATGTTTCCCACCCCTGCTATATAACACCAGTGCTGAGGATGGAGACTAGGGTGGATTTTCGTGTTCTGCTTACATAGTAACATATCTGGATTTCAGCAAATACTTGTTTTCTTTTCTCTCCAAATAAAGTTTGAATCAATCTCACCAGCTTTCCTTTTTGTATTGGTGGACAGCTGTCTCCCACAATCCCAGTAGGTTCACTTCAGGCACAGCCAGAAAGAACGTTGTTTCATTGCTGATAAACTGACACCCAGGAATAGCAAAGTGCTAGATCACATGTTGAAGTGGTCATTGTTACCCTCACATGATACGCTGCTGTTCATTGTGCTCCCGGTATCTTAGAAAACACCCCTCCCCAAAGAGGTAAACCTATTTAACTGTAATGATTTTCGGCTCCACTGCTATCTATTATCTGCTAGCAGCTCAGGAAGCCACAGTCCTAGTTTAATTCATCACTTAAGATTTCCTGACTTAGCTTAAGTGCGATATCAATTTCATGGAATTAGGTGGCAGATGCATCAAGGAACTATTTCCTGGAAGCTTTAACACCTCGAGAATATTCATTCAGGTCAAATGAGTGGATTGGAATTGTTCTCATTTAAATAAGACATTCGTCAAATGGCCAGAAGTCATGATATTCCACGTTTTGAGTTTTTTAAACATTAAAAAGAATAAAGAACAGTTCTCTTATTTTTACATAAAAATAGTTCTCTATAATTTTAGCAACTGTTTAATCAGTTACCATATAGTTAGTTGATTAAATAGGGCTTCAGTTTTAACATTTTTTTTTCTTGACTTATTACCTTGGCTCACAAATTCTTTTCCTTTTCACCCTGATTTCATTTACATATTTTCCTCTCCTCCTCCCTTTTTTATTGGAGCTGTTGTCTGAAGGGTCTCTGTCTGCCTGTTGGGACATTGGTATTGCTATAAAATAATGTCCAGGAAATCTCGTTTTGTCTAAAGATACATTTGGGTCTTCAAGCTGTACATTTTTTTCCTAAGGAAGATGTTTATTTCTGTAAATCAAAGGTAATACATATATAACGTATTAGAGGCATTACTTTTGGAATTTATTAATATGTATATATGTCTAATTTTATAGATTTCCAAGACCATTAGCCTGAAGCCCTATTAATTATTCTCTCTTCACGTTTGCATCGCTGCTAGCCATTCTTACCTTTGTTGTTCTGTTTCATTCTGTATGGAAGAGTGTTAAAAAGGCTGATAGCAAACATCAGCATCTCTGCCGCTCCTGCTCCCACCTTGTGTCTCTCCTGAATCCTGGGCTCGGAGGGGGAAATGAAAACAAGAACTAGGTGTATACGTTTCTCTTAGGCCTCCTGCCTGACCCTTAGGTGTATGCCAGCTTGAGGAAGGGAAAGATCCTTCCTTCATTCACCTGTCTTCGTATTGTGTTTCCTTCCTCAAAGTATATTGTTTTTCACGAAGGATCCTACCTAGCCAGGAAGCCTTTTTCAAAGTTTGCTTTTCCTTTGTAATTCTTCCTGACTGTTGCAGCTGCCTACCATGCCACCCCAAGTAACTGATACTTGAATTTCATGAAACTTGTGTTTTAGGGTGAGGAATGATGGTCATTAAATATCTTTATATGGTAGCACTTCTAATCAGAGGAGTCGCCTACCACTGAGCAAGGGAAGAGGAGAAAGCAAGGAGAGAAGAAAGCTACACTAAATTGACATTTGTCCCATGGTATGAATGCCAATCTTAACAGCTTCAGTTGGTGAAGTTAATTTTAGACATTTCCTTTATCAAACATTTAAAGGTAAAAATTTTCCCAGAGCCAGCAGAACACTGAGCTGACTTCTGTTGACATTTTTGCTGATCAAGGAATTTCCAATGAGCAGGGCCGGAATCTTTTGCAGAAAAGGGGCAGGACGATGAATCAGAAAAGCAGTAATGGACGAGGGAACGCTGCTCCTTGCTGTGGGCCAGAGGAGGCTATCAAACATGATAAATGTTTACTGGGCATTGATGTGCTCATTGTGTTTATATCAAGGAAGACAGAGACGTGATGGGAAATTTTAAGGAAGATGCAGACAAGATGGGAGATTTTAACATGAAAAGTCATACCATTGGGGAACAATTATAAAAATTCAAATCTAACATTTCAGTCCACCTTAGAGACATGACTCTTCAGAGTTAGAAGCTGTAAAATAAATTACAAAGAAAAGATGGGCATAATTGACTACATGAAGTTTTATGTGTCTGCATAGGAAACCCAGAACCTAAGAGACATTGGAGAATATCTTTTGTTAATCTTCAGGGATTATATACAGAGATTATAAAAACAATACGAAAAAAAAAGTAATAAGTTTAGAGCATTGTGGAAAAGGCTATGAGCAGAGGAGCTCCAATCCATAAAAGGAAGGAATGAACAAGTTTGTGAATAAGCATTAGATCTTACCAGCAGTCATAGAACTGCAAGGTAAAGTCACCATTGGAGGGTGTTTTTTAACTTATCTACTACATTAATCAGTCCATGCACTTAACCCTGACTCCAAAGGGTTCTTCTTGCTTATATACTACTGGCGAGAATGTAAACCGAAACACCTCATTTAAAAAGCTACTTGGCACTATTTGCAAAAGGTCATTACATAGCTTATGATGCCTGAATTGATAATGCCTCTTCGGCAAGCGTATCTTAAAGTATTCTGGAATAAAAGAAAAAAGTATTATGTGCACTTGGATTGTCCTATCAGTGCTATTTCACATACACATAAACGACATAATTTACATGTCCCCTGGTGGTATCAGTGGTTCTCAAATGTGGCTGCCTATTAGAATCACTAAGAAGTGTATGAGAAAATGCTGATGCCAGTTCCACAGCCAAAGATTTTTATTTAATAGGTTTGGAGTTGCCTCAAACTTGCATTTAAAAGAATTTCCCTGAAAGTTCTAATATACAGCCAAATTGAAAACTGCTCGCTTGAAACGAGTTGATAAATATTTTTAACCATTTGAAATATTCTTGATAGTTTCATAGCAGTGTGGAAAGGGTATAATATAAAATAGACTATTGTAACTCAATACGTA